GAAGAACTTTGAATCTAATGGTCATGAGTGTTACACTCAGTAGGTAACCTAGAGTAGATTATTTAATATCTCTGAGTTTCTATTTCTTGGTCTCTAACACAGAACAATAGTAGCCAATTGATCTAGATAATAATATGTAAAATATAGTATATTGTTGGTTATATTTATAAAATATTAATATTTTAAACTAGTTATATGCTTAACATATGGCATGTACTCAGTAAACGGAAACTACTAGGGTTTTTAAAGCAATACACAAGGAAATAAAGAGAAAAAAATCCATTGTAAAAAATGCAAATTTTGTCAAACCTAATAACATACATCAATGTGACTCCTGTGCTGGGCACATCACAGAGTGCTTCCCTGTGTGATATAGACAACACAGCTTCTTGACTTAGAATTAACAAGTAACTAAATCTCACCTTTTCCAAAAGTCTGTGGAATGTGATAGGCTTAGTGGTAGAGTGCTTCCCCAGGTTGCACAAAACCCTGGGTTTTATTCATTAGTACCACATACATAAAAAAAGCCAGAAGTGGTGCTTTGCATCAAGTGGTAGAGCGTTAGCTCTGAGCAAAATGAAGCTCAGGGACAGTTCCCAGGCTCTGAATTCAAGCCCCAGGACTGGCAAAAAAAAAAAAGGATTGAAAATGAGTGTTGACTAATGCCGGGAGGAGTTGACTAATGCCTGGGGTAGTTACTATCTCATCACTAGTTGGCATCATTTGTACAGCTGTAGGCAGGGTATGCCTATTTGTTGGTCATTCATAGAGTGGCTTATACTGGCAGCTGTTGCCTTGTTTTTGAAAAGAAAAGAAAAAGAAATGACTGCTTTCTTTCTTGTTGCAAATGTGCTGCCCTCTGTGCTCGTTTTCACATGTCTTTTAGTTGTTGTTGTTAAGATGTCAGGTAGTTGAATCATTTTTTTCTTTAAGATGTAAATCATTCAACTTATACCATACCAAATCCCTCCTCCAAGTTGATGTTATTTCCCACTTTCTTCATGACTAACTCCTCCTACTCTTCCCTTATTACATTAAAAAAATTGCTCCTTAGTTGTAACCTTGAAGCTATGTGAAAGTTAGAGTGACTCATTGCATAGTGGAATTGATGAAATCAGCAGCTGCTGGAAAATATCTTTCCTCTTAATAAGTGTATCAACATGTGTTTGCTATTATTCAAGTAAGAAAAAAATATAGGAAACATCCATTATAATCCTTGCTAAAATTTTCATCAGGGAAACTCATGTTTTGACAACGAACTATTTGAATGGGTGCAGTAAAGGAAGTTTTCATGGATATCAAAATTAAGGAGAAATGAAGTTCAGTGGGAGGCAAAGAAAATACATACTGTAAATGTGTGGTTGACAATGCTGTAATTAATTTCAGACGTGGATAGAGGACATCATTAGTGATAAGGAAGACATTTAGCAGCTCATGATTTCAAAGTTCCTAGGACAGTATGAGCAACTGTCTATGCATCAATACAAATAATGTTAATTGTTATTATGATAAAATACCTGTCTCATGGAGTTTCAAATCTAAAGAGAAAGACTAAAAACCTATGATCAAAAAGTTGATATAGCAGTAAAGGAAAAGGTAAGAGACTACGATACAGATTAGGAAGGAAGGTCTTACTTACTCCCATGAAAAAAGAAATGGAAGACTTCTACAAGGGTGACTTTCACGATAAAACCTAAGAGAAGGGATGTATCAGTGTCAAATGGAGCCTCTGTGCATGTTCCTGTGACTTCATATAGCGCATGGCATGCTCTGTGGGCTAAAACATCAGTGAGTCTGGAGCCCAGTTAGTGAAGATAGGTTGGTGCACGATGAAGCCAGAGAAATGAGCAGGGGCTCGATCATATCGGACTTTGTGGGCCTTAGTAAAGGATTTGATTTTATACTGAACACAGTGATCACTAGAGGGGTTTAAATGTGTGTGTGTGTGTGTGTGTGTGTGTGTGTGTGTGTGTGTGTGTGTCAAATTGTGAAAGACCAGCGAGGACAAACCAACATTTAAATGATGGCTGCTTGTATTATCACATCAATTCGAGATACATGGGGCAAGACAGCAAAAACAAAGAAGACATCATGTAGAGGGAACTGACAGAATCTGTGAAATAATCAGCTACAGAAACTGATGAGAGGAAAAAATCTAGGGGCCCTTCTGGGTTGTGGCTTTTAGACACCACACATACCATTGTACAACTCAAAATGGTATAGAATATTTGCTATGTGGAAGAAACATCAACAGCATTGTTTTGAATAGGATATTCTGGAGACATCTGTGATCTGTCAAGAAAAGAGGATATAGTCTATTGATCACCTGATAGAGAGACAAGAAAAAGCCTTTGGATCTAGCATCATTGGGCTCTTTCAACCTTTGTGGGTCATGCAAAGGACATCAGTGAAGTAAACTGTTTCACAAAGAGTAACAAAACGGGATAGCAAATACCTCTGGAAGCAGACACTAGAACAGACACTAGAACAGAAGGCCCCAAAGTTTATGTTTTCTAAAACAAACATCTTAATTTAGAAAAGAAAATGTACTAATCACATGGAATAAGAGAAAGTATTCTCACAAAGAACCATTGTAGACTATTAGGATCAAAGCTTTGGAGTAGCCTAATAAGCTTCAGTAAAAGGTAACATCGCCACAACTAAAGAATGTATCAGCTAATTGAAAGAACAGATTGAAGAATGCTTCTAGAAAGAAATTTTTAAAATGTAAAAGTTCAGAGCAAGAAGGGATAGAAGTATCACTTTCCAGATAGTCTAAGAACTCCTGGGAGATAAAATATGTAAATGAAGAGAAGAAATATTTAAAGAAATAGGATGTTTTCTAAAAGAATAGTCACATATTGAAATTACCTACAGAAGGCCATATGAAAGATATATGCATATAAAAGTCATGCACAGATACATTATGATAATAAATAATAGCAGACTTTTCAATGGGGAAACTGAGTCAGAGAGGCAATAGTCTTTTTAGAATACTGAAGAGATCTTTTGCAAAATTTAGTTTAGAAGCTGTGATGACTCTGTTGCCAGAGAATGGATTAAGTCTTTGCTCACTTTCCCAGATTCCATACAAAAATCTCAGGGAAAAGCATTTCAAGGTGCTTCACAAAATGTGGAATCACAAGGTAAAAATAAGGGTTTGTACCAAAGTTGAAAGAGAAACATCTCCTGCTCCTCATGAAGAAAATGGAAAATAAAGACTCAAAATAGCAACTGTCACCGGCTGCCTTTATTCTTTCTAAGCTGGAGAAATATATGTCCTTAAATTCTCTAGAAACCTCATCTATTAGACAATACTTCTGGAATGCAAAAATGGATGGGGTTTCCTTTTTTAAAGATAAGCTTCTCTTCTGACTGTTGCTATATATATACATAAACATAATTGTAAGATTATTATTATTATTATTATTGTCATTTTATTGTTTTAAAGAAGAGGACAGTTCTAGATAACACTTTCAGGTCTCTGAGCCCTTGTGACTTAGCAGCTCAAAGGAGGTACAACTTCACTCTCAGTTAACTTACTGGTTCCTTGTCTGGCATTTTTGGTATTTGTTCAAAGATAATATAATTTCCCTATCTCATCATCTAACTACCCTGCCTCAGTTAATTCTTTGTGTCAACTTGATGGTTCACAGGATATCTGGTTATTTGGTTAAACATTATTCTTTCTTTGGGGTGTTTTTGAATGAAATTAGCATTTATCTCAATAGACTGAGTAAGGCAAATCACCATCTCTAATTTAGGCATCTCTAATGTCATCTCTAACCACTCATTTGAAAGTCTGAGTAGAAAAAAATATTTTTTCTTTCTTGCTATTGTTTCTAACGTATTTATAATGTACCATGTGATTTTTTTTTGTTTCTTTGTATGTTCCTCCCCTACGGTTAACCCGTTTTCACTGTATTTGATGTTGGGCCCTGCATCTTCTATATATACTTCTCTAATTTGGGGAGGAGAAGGGAAAAAAGAAAAATGTTTAAATAGGGGTACATGTTAACCCATTGTAACAATGAGATGTACAACACACTGTGTTGAAAACAAACTTTACAACTTCTGCAGTTGGGGTGGGTGGGGAGTTGTTATGAAATTGGGAAGGATGGGATGGTAGGGGAAAAACAAAGGAGGAGGCAACAGTGCTGGATAGGAAATGTACTCACCACCTTGCTCATGTAACTATAACCCCTCTATACAGTATTTTTACAATAAAAAAGTACAAAAGAAAAAAAGTCTGACCCTCCTTCAACTCAGAGAGAAAAAAAGCTCCCTCTGCTTTCCCATTATCAAAGTGTTTTTTCCTGCACTGGCCTCAAGGTGGTATATTGGATTTTACTGGGTCTGGACCTCATGAGCCTATGGCCTGGAACTATACAACCAGTTAGTTTTCTTGGAGCTCTAACATGCCAAGTGCAGCCAAGTTCTCCATTTTTGTTGGGATTTCTGTCTTTATTGCTATCTCTTTCCTGTCAGGTTTGTTTCTCTGGAGAGCTTCTAGAATATAGAAATACTGTATGTAAACTTTTCCAAGGACAAAGAAATAGATTATGTGTTAATAAGTCCTGTAAAAACACAACAGAGACTAGGGCATTACCTCCTGACTGCAAAGTGCATTATTAACCAAGGTATAGTACTAAGATTACTCACACAAAGTTCTTGAAGGCTCAAATTAGATAAGAGATAAAAAGACACAGATAATCTGCTGAAAATAAAGCTAACACCACCACCATCACCACTTTAATACCTTTAGTATTAGTTCCAATTTTATCCAAAGTAACTCTTGAAGGGCAATAACCTTGGCAGAAAGGTCCTACCCAGATGAATTTTGAAAAGTGGAAAATCATTGCCAAACCCAATCCCAAACACAGCACCCACAATATATACACACTATGCAAATGCTCCCAATGAACACACACACACACACACACACACACACACACACACACTTTGGGGAAAAATTAAGGGAAAAGTGGACTGTTTTACTATTAAACTCTTTTATTGTGAAGATTTGTAATCTTTATAGGATGTGCAGAATAAAAAAGTGTAAAAGATATCAGCAAGCATATAAAATTTCAGCAATCTCTTGGACCAGCAATTGATTTACATGAGGCAAGAAGCATCTAGACAGAACAGACATGTCTTGGATTGCACACTTCACAGACTGACTTACAAAGCCGTTTACCAAATGATTTTTTTCCTCACATAAAGATAAAATATCTTTACGTTTTAGAAGTATGCAATATAGTACATTTTCGGTTATGTACACAGTCTAAAAGGAAATCTATGTCCACTCCAGTGTCTGTTTTAAATGCAAATAATCAAAATAATAAACAGCTTGGTAGTTAAAGTGTCAGCAAAACTGGAAAAAGTAACAGAAAAAAAATAGCAAGAAGGGTCCCGATAAATGAGTAAAAATAAAACAAACGCATAACTGGAGTTGTTCCTAAGGATAAAATTGCAGCAATATGAGCTGGAGGAATTAGAAGCTTTTGGATTTACCAGGCAGCTTTCAGAATGACTCAGGTTTACAGGTGAAATTCCTCAGTTTGAGTTTAGAAGAACTTGGAACTTATTTCAGCAAAATGACTTCAATCTTTTATTACTTATTACCTCTTCCCCCATGATCTATCTGAGTAAAATAATAATGGGATTAGGTCCAAGGCTCCTGGTAGAGGGAAGGGGCACGTGTCACAGCATAAAAGAGTTGCATATACTTAGAAAGGGTCATGCTTGAACCAGCGCTTGACAGTCTTACACAATGACCTCCATCCTGACAGTCCTTCCCCAGAGGCTCACTGATCAGCTGAAAAGGGAACACTGTGCTGGGCCACAAAAGCACCCCAGTGATAGATAAGCTTGGGTTCAAGAAAGTGTGATTATTCTTGATAAATAAATGACGTTGAATAGCTATGCTGACCTCATTCAGCTGTTGAGAGGCAAGGAAAGTGGGCTTCCACTCCTGATACCCCAGAGAGGGCTCAGCCCCCTTTTCCTCCTTTATCTCATTTTATTGGTGCCACATGATCAAGTATAGACATGTGCTTCACTAGATCCTGTATCTGAGTCAGAAAAAAAAAGTGTAGATATTCTAATTTGGGATTTTAGGGAGGTTACTGATCTAATGAAAAATGACGAGTTAGACCTTATTAGAAACAGAAAATGTGAAAAATAGGAAGGCACTTAGGTTTCATCTGCACAAATATTCAGGCATTCAATGCATCATAGGTTAAAATATCAAAAAAGTAAGGCATTAGTGGGGTTGTGTGAATACAGAATATAATATCTTACTTGGTAAAGACCACTAGATCCCACTGGATTATTGAGGTGAATGGCAGCAACTCACTAGCTCCTCTGATAGTGTGGGAAAAAGTTCACTTCATATCTGCCCACATACCCATATGTGGTATACCTATATGCTGGAATTTCTTCCCTTTCTATCACATCATCATTTTAGATTAGACAGTTGAGGTTATTAGTTCCTTTCTTTCACACTTTCTCTTCAGTTCTTTATAGTTTTCTCAAATTATCTGTCCAACAATTATGTTCATTATCTCAGCCAGTAATGATCCACATGCAAATACAAAGGTAAGAAATAGGTGGGATGGATTTTTAAAACTTAGGTCACTAAAAATAATAGATACAATAGCTCTGTTGTATCAAATAAATGAAGACAAATAATAAAGACTGAGAAAGTGATTTCTTTGTTCTGAATCAAAGAAAACCATTGATAAACCACCACTATATTAGCAACTTGAAACTTGATATTGGCACCAAGAAAATTAAAAGGAAAAAAAAAGAATCAGGAATACTTCTATCCTTGAAATGTCACTTATATTTCTTTCTGCATATTGATGCGGATACTGCTGAATACTTTGCCAATGGCTTCAAAGAGTGGGTCACAGAAGGTATGTACGTAGATGGAGTAGACACGGCTTATACACTGCATCTCAATTAGGAAGCTCTTAATGCATGGAACAACTGCCCAGATGTGTAGGAAAGAGAGAATGGCAAAGTAAATGCCCCAGATGAGTGCCATAGGAATGCCGAAGATGGTAGACAGCAAGCGGTAAAACCAGTATTTCGTCACAGTGAAGGTGGTGAAGCTGGCCTTCCAGATGCCATCGAAACTATGTGTCCCTTCTGGTTCTGCAATCACATCTTCAAAGTCAATCTAAAAGAAAAAAAAATAGCACCATGTGTGTGTGTGAACAGAAGAGGGAGAAAATAGTGAGGATTCATATACATGTAAATGAATGGACCAGTCCTGTGTGGGCTATTTAAAGGCAACTAGCAGCTGCTGTAGGCCATGGAACTTACTGGGAACACAGACACGTGGGCTCCACTCTGACCCTTTCCTATCTCTGGGAAGAACCCCAAAGAATTTTAACTAATTCTCCAGGAGTTGTTGCTGTTGTTGTTTATAGCATGCCCAGCTTTGAGAACTTCTGCTTTAGAGACAACCAAAGGTATAGGGTTTTTTTTTTTTTGCCACAAAGCAACTCTGAGCAAAATGGAAAAGGGTACACGTTTCTCTGTAACACATTTTAAAATGTGACATAATTTAACTGCCTTCTGAGGCAGCTACACACAGACACACAGTGCTAAGGACTAGTTAGTTCAGGCTTGATTAATGCCATCAATACAATCAGCTGGAAATTGCATGGCAGGAAATTAGAATCTTGTTAGCGGTGAGGCACTGAGATGATCTGTGGGATGATGAGATGACTAGTATTAGGAGAAAGAAGGGCTTTGGAAATGTGAGCTTCAGAAACAAGACAGGGCAAAGCTAGTGAATGTTACAGGCAGAGGAGACTGGCATGGCCATGGCTGCAGGACACATTGAAGCCAGAATGACTTCATTTTTCATATAGTAGTGGGGAGGAAGATGCCTGTTGAAGATGTTGGTAAGGGGGAAGAGCAGCCACACACAGCAGGGTGTGGGCTGGAGAGAAGGGGAAGGAGCCCAAAGCAAGAAGACCATTTCTGAACCCAAGTTGGAGAGGGTAGGACTGGAAAAGTAATCATTACAAAAAAAAAAGGAAAGGAGGGAAGGAGGGAGGAAGAAAAAGGCAAGATGGATGAAAAGAAGAAAAGATGAGAAGAATTACAGGTGTATTAATGGAAGAATCCTCAGGATGTGGTTACCTGAAAGTTAGAAGGGAAGAGAATCATAAACTAGGCCATAAGTTCTTTTTTTTTTATTTCAGTTAAGGGTAGAGAGGTGACATTAAGAGCAAGAAAAAAGGAAAACAATAACAAAAACAACAATAATAAAAATTAACCAGAGAGTGCTTTGGTTTTGAATTAAACAAACGAAAAGTTCTAGATGATGATGGACACAAATTCCATTGGTCTATATGCAATGAAATCCCTTTGGAGGCCATTAGGAAGCAGCCAAATGTGTTTTCACTTACGTAGTACTTTGCAATCACCAAATGGTTCTCCATGCATTATGCCCATGACATATGGGTTTCATACTTATCTTGGACAAGTCTTCAAGAGAAATTGAGCCAAAGGTGACTTGTGAAAGTCAAACACACAGCAGTAGAAGGGGCCTGAAAAACAAACCTGGCCCTTTCCTAATGACATTCTCTTCTAGGTGCCTATTTATCTATGGATACTTCTGAGGCTTATTGAAACCAACCAGAAGCACAATATTAAAACTACCAGCAGAAAGTATAACTGAATATGCTCAAGTCTTAGTGGTGGCAGCTAACGAAGAGATCTAACGTAGTTTGATATTCAAACAAGCTGCTGACTTTCAACAATGTGGCCAAACTCAGGATTAGGGAATAGCACTTGGATGATTCCATTTAGTGTCTCAGTGCCAAAGAGCCACCTTTCATTCAACACAGAAAAACGTTCTTGGGGAAAAGTACATGATGCTTACCCATTTTTAAAGTTTATTTTCCAGGACATTCTATTTCCTGATCTATTATTGCTCAATGTCCTGGTAGTGTAATATGTAAAACTGGTGTGGTCATAAGTAAGTAAGTAAAGTTAAATCACTTGTGGATTTTTTTACACTACAGAAAACCTATAGCAACCAGATCAGCACTTAAATGAGATTTCTTTGCAACTTACTTCATTTCTATTAAGGGTTTTGGTCTGATGCTGTACACCTCCCAAAGATATAAAAAATAAAGGCTTGAGGTTTTATTTTTTAGATGTCCTTGTTTTGTAGGAAAATTTGACAGAGTGGAAATGAATGTACTAGAGCAGGCGTTTTTAATCTGGGGTGAAGCAGTGCTGGTCCACAAATTCCTTAAGTTGGGTACACACATTTTGAGTGTGCAAGGGAAAGACATTCTATCACTTTTATTGGAAATTAAGGCCTATTATCAAAGACAGATACAAAACAGTTTACTGGATGGCGGGGCTGGTGGGAGAAAAGAATTACTCCCTTGTTCCAGAAGTCTACCTTGAGCTTCTCTTCCAAGACAAAGGGTAGTTCCCAACATTTGTTGACTGGTTTTTATGCTTAATTTTTCTCATGTAAGTAACAACCACTTTATGACATGTTGTTCCCATTTCATATAGAAACATGATGCTTAGAAATGTTGATGAATTATGTAGGTACACTAATAGATAGACTTGAGACTTGATTGATCTGTAAGAAACCAACTACAAAAAGAAACCTACTTTCCAAAATTTGTTTCTGTAAAAATAGAATGTCATAATAATTAAAAGACGTGAGTAAATGGGGCTTGATGATAACTGATATTTCTCAAAGTATTGACTCTAGAGACAGTATTATACTGTATATACATATTTAGGTAGCACAAATGTCTATGAATGAATTTATATATTTTTTCAGTGAATGTTATTGAAGGTTTTTATATTTTCTTTTAAGTCACTAAGAAAATTTTAGGGTGGCTACATTTTTTAGTGCTTTCTAGAAACTGCTTTGAGTGTGATTTAGCCTCAAAAATCCAAGTGTATTTAGATCAGATCTCCAGTTATATACATCAACAGGACCAAAATAGTATGTTATATACATATATTCAACTAGTTTTTATTTAGTTTAAATGTGGCTTAAGAGAATGTGAAATCCATTACCAGTTAAGGTGCAGCTGAGAACAAAGAGCAAGATAAGCAAAGGAAATACATTGGAGCTAGAAGAACAGCTTAGTTTCCTTCTACCTCCTCTTCCACCACAGTGATACATTCATTTTTTTGTGTGTGAGAAGTGCATGAGCATGAGAGACAATGTAAAGTAGATAGTGTGGATACAGAACACTTCAGTATGGTCAATGTTCAATAAGGAGCAGCATTAACAAGTTTCTTGCTCTGAGTGACCAGACATCTTAATAGACAATTGCAATCAATTTTCAGTTGCAAAGTACAATGTATAGCTGTTATGAATTTCAACCCTTACCACTGGCTCAAAAGAATTAACATACATTTGTGATTATCTTCATCAATATTCTCTGAGATATCTGACACTGTGCCCTTTTCATAGACAAGGAAACTGAGTGAGTCTAAGAAATTACACAAGTACATCCCCAGATGATAAAAGGTAAAGCTGAAAGCTTTGTTTTCAGGTCTGTACTCTTTGTTTCTAAGTCTCTGGACTCATAAGCCTTAATTTGCACTCATATATTGATGGGCTTGCTAAAACACTTAAGTTTTGATTACTAAAGGGATAATTCTTGTTAACATTGCCACTTACGTCAGGATAGCTAGTAACTGGAGTATTTTTTTTTACCAATTGTATTTTTATGACTCTGAACAGTATGTTCTCACAATCCTGGGCATTCAGCCAGGACTCTAATGCTAGCTGGCAGACATGGAAACTGAGGCACAGAATGATTAAAATGTATCAGACATTCTTCTGGTCCCAAGTGAATCAGTGGAAAAGCTGAAATTAGAACGCTCACTTCACTATTCCCAGGCTTACATCCAGTCCTAAGATCACACAGCTTCCCTAGAACATTCTATTAATCTTTGCATGTACCTTTTCCACACACTCTGATCATTTGTCTGTATTTCTCTACAACCCTCATTGCCTTCTAGGGTACCCGCTGGAAGGCATCTCTGCTTAAAACCAGGTGAAATAAACCTTTTACAATGTGAACATTTTTGTACATCTTAGATGAAGAAAACAACAAAGTTTTTTAAAAAAAAACTTCATTGTGCATTTTGACTTCTACTCAGAATGAAGTTAATCCCAACAGAGTTCTGCTACCCACTCAATGTAACTCACAGTTCCACATAAATCAAGATGTACTTTGCCAGATTCATAGATTTCAAAGCTACAAGGATCTTTAAAGGCATGGAGGCCCATTTAAGATCAAGAAACTGGTGATCAGAACTGGATCAAAGCTACCTTTCTGTCTAATGGCAGACACAGGATTGGAACTCATGCTTAGGATTCCCTTGGGCTCTTCAACTACTGGGTGCTATCATGTCACAACCTGTGTCAGACTGGCTACCATGGCCTGTGTCCAGTGTGAAAGGAAATCTAGTCTTTTATCCAAACTTGCACACTGACTTGCTCTCAAGAAGCCCTAAAGGTCCACTTGTTAAATGAATGTCTCAGTGTCTCTTCAGTCTCTAGTGTGCTTATTGTTGTCCTGCAACATCAAGGTGATAAACCTCTCATCAGAAGTCATTCTTGTGTTCCGAACAAGTCTACATTCCCACCAACAATGAAGTAGGGTTCCCTTCTGGCCACATCCCCTCCAGCATCTGTTGTTATTAGAGTTCTTGATTATAGATATTCTAACTGGGGTGAGGTGGTATCTGTGTTGTATTGATTTGCATTTCTTTTATGGCGAGGGAGGTTGAGCATTTCTTCATGTGTCTATTGGCCATCCTTCTTTCCTCTTCAGAAAAGTTTCTCTTTAAGTCTTTAGCCCACTTATTAATGGGGCATTTGTTTCTTTGAGGATTTGTTGTTGGGGGATTTAATTTTTTGAGTTCCAGGTATATTTTAGATATGAGAACCTTGTCTGTTGAATGGCTAGTGATCTTCTCCATGACCCAGTAATCCCACTTTGGGCATTTACCCAAATGATCACAAACAATACCATACTAAAGCTACCAGCACAACTATGTTTATTGCAGCATTATTTACCATAGTTAAGATATGGAACCAACCTAGATGCCCTTCAGTAGATGAATGGATCAAGAAAACGTGGTATATATAAACAGTGGAATTCTATGCCT